CTTCACGTGAGTTTCTAAAATATAGTTCTTTTGATCTTTGTAGTAGGAACTCTAATATATTTTTAAAATATATACAAACTTGACAACAGAAAGAAATTTGATAAGAAAGCAGAATGTTTTCTTTTATTGGAGAATGCCTATAACCTATGAGAACTTATAACTTAGTAGGAAGTGATTTTAAAATTTTTAGTGCTATACTAATCTTAAATTATTTTACAGCATACAGTTTAACTTATTTTCTCTGAAAGGAGCTATTAACTATTAAGAGGTCCTGTATTTTAAATTATCAATCACCTATTTTTTGCCTAAACATAACAAAGTAGTTTCACTTCTTAAATACTATAGGATTCATCAGGGCACTTAAAAGCTTTTTAATGTTAGAAAGTAAATGTTTTACACATTTCTTTAAAACCAGTAAATAACAGAATAGAAATAGGATTTACTCAAAGTATGTTACTAGCATGATATTACCTAAAATATAGCCTGTGAATCATTAATTAACTAATACAACTCATCCATCCACATGACAGAAATTATTGGTAACCTGGTGTGTATCAGGTACTAGTCTAACATTGACTCTTAACAATGATTTTCTTTAAATCATTCTTCTTTTAAAGTTAATTATCAAATTTTTTATTTGTTTCTTGAAAGGAGTTAATTACCTTAAATGAAAATTTCTAAACTTTTGGGTAGATCTCATTCAGTCTTCAGGTAAGAAGTTCCCCCCTGGCCATAGCGATATGGCATTGAGTTAGAGGTTCATAAAATAAATATAATGCTTACAATTTTTATGACAGAAATATAGTTTAAGAGAAATTTTTCTTTCTATAAATAAGAAATTCTGCCATTCTGAGATTTCTAAATATCTGACATTTCTAAATACCTTTGTTGGTGACTAAAACTTATAAGAACACTTTTAGTTCAATGTGAATAAATGGATTATTGATACCATTACCTATTTTTTCTACATGTATTATTTTATAGGTCTTGTTTTATGTAGTTGGAACTTGCATATGAGAGTTTACGTTATTTCTAATTTTGTGATTTGGGGAATTATGATCATTTTAAGGTTAAAGTTTTTAATTATAAACACGGAAACCTGAAATACAAATGTTAAGTCTCATTGCAACTTGCCTTTTGTTCTTTTAAATACACAATATTTTCATGTTACCACTTCAGTCTTTTGAAAGTAGAGATTTATAGAAATTGAGTGAGGCATTGTTTCTCTTTTTTTTTTTTTTTT